CAGAGGCGGCTGCCCGCGCCGGAGCCGCGTTAATTGCTCTCGGCCCCGGCACTCAGCCTGCGCGGAGCCGGGACAACCTCGCTCCAGGAGGAATGACAATTCGCCCTAATGGGACAACCTCACTCCCAGAGGAGTGACAATTCCTTCTAATGGGCCGCTTGTTAGCGGCCTATTCTCCCGAACCCGGGTATCAGAAGCGGGCAGACAAGCGGGCGCCAACGTCCGCCAGGAATTCCACAACATTGCTCTCCACCCCTTGGACATTCGCTGTGTGACCTCGGGCAAAAAACTGCTCCTCTCTGAGTTCATATTTCTTACCTGTGCGATGTGGAGTTGGAACGGGCAGATCCAACTCGAGTAGGCCAAACATATGCCCAGGCATTTAGAGAAGTCTCTTTGGGAGTTACACAGCAGGGAAGCAAGGTAGCTGAGGATTCAGAGTCATAATTGTGGTTCTCTGGGGGACGTTTCCTGAGATTGTGAAATTCTGGACATTTAACTGCAGGTTGCAGAGAACGGGGCCTTCACCAAAGCCCTACCCGGGTGACTGAAGGCCTGAACCCCGAGCTTTAGTTGGCTCTCCATTTCACAGTCCAGGAAGTCAAGGCTGACAGGAGAGTAACAGCAGGCAGAGCCTAGCTCCATAACAGGGCCCTGGACGGTCAGCAAGGGTGTGCTGGGGAAAGGTGCCAAGAAGTGGGGAGTCCCTGAGAACCTGGAGCAGAATGGCCTGTTCTCAAAGACCTCAACTGCCCCTCCCCACAGCAAGCGTCAGGGTTCCCCAAGGGGTAGAGCCAAGGTTCCCTGCCTTCTCTAGATCTGTGTTCAAACGTGGGCCCCATTCCTGACTATTTGTCCTTGCTGCCTTTGTGGTTTCCCCTTTGAGAAAATGAACACACGAATGCTCAGACTACAGGGGTGCCACTGAGGACCAGGTGCCAGGAGCCAAACCTAAAACTAGCAGCCTGGCTCTGCCTTCAGCTTCACACAACTCCTCAGGGTGGTTTTCAGCAGGGCTGAACCATTTATTTCCTATGGGACTCAGGATAAACTACTTCAACACTGGCACCACAGTTGTCTCATCTGTCCTAGGGCAGTGCCTAGTTAGTTCAGAAATTCTATACATTATTATAATTGAAGTCATTGTCAATATTTTTAAACTTCTCTGTCCAGTAGGTCTTTGTGGCATTGCACACATCTAGGCTCTGGTGATGTATTGTTCGATGATCTGAGGCATGGAACGCAGTTTTGCAGAGCCTATGCAAGTAACGACCCATTTCTTGAGAAGGAAGTAGATTTGGAGTTCTGTCCAGCGAGGGGTAAAGATTAGGGGAAAATAAATGGTTTAGACACACAGAGAATATCTCCCCTCTCCAGCCCCTGGACACAACTTCCTAGCATCTAGGACTGGAGAGTAGTCGTCAGAAACAGGGCCCAACAGAGAAAGGCTGACAGGGGTCCCAGAGAGGAGGATCCAGGAGGCTGGGTGGCTGCAGGTCAGGAACTCAGTAGTCATCCAGGCTGGCAGGATCTTGCATTGCCATGCATGGATCCGTGCTCAGCACCTCTTCAGCTTACTCATCTGTAAAGCCCAAATTACCACTCCAACTGGGCTGGGTTAACAAGAAGGTA